AAAGACAACATTGTCTTGTACATGTACATGCAATGGATTCTCCTACGGCTTCGCACCCATTGCTAGGTAGCTAGTCAACCAAGTCATGTGACACAAACATGACTTCTTTTAATAGATTTTTTATAGTAGGGGTATTCCCTTGCGAAAAACAATGTTTTGAGGAGGATTTGAAGCAAAATTTTGATAGATTAATTAGCTTGAATATGTTTTTGATCCAAATATATCATCAAATCATCCAGTTTGTACGCGGGAATGTATCTTTAAGCTATGATGTAAGATATTGTCCCAAAAAATGCAAATGATGATCAGTAGTATAAAGGTGGGCCAAAATTCATTAATCAAGAAAGAAGTTATAATCTTGTTAAAAACTGTTGAAAATATCAAAACTGCTAATAAATGATATAAAGCAAACATCTGCAATGCAAATGATAAATTTAATTTTTATCCTGTGAAATGATTTTAATAACCACATCTGCCACTGTAAAACAACAAATTTATTGAGAAGCAAGAAATTAAAGCGTTAAATTTTAATGTGACCAATGTCCAGTCACACTAATTTCCATTCAAATTTCTGTTCTGTAAAATAAAAGTCAACAGTGAAGCTGACGTTCCCAGCCTTAATCTTCAAATAAACAGATGACACAACCTAATAACTGTATCCCATGTGTGTAACCATCATCAAACATAACACTCTTCCTCTGCAAAAAAAATCCCACTTAGAGAAACACATGTGAACAAACTGGTCATATGACCCATTTATGGAAGATTAAATTGAAAATTTTGAAATAAACCAAAAATAATTTGTATACGATCACAAGATTTTTAAAGATAAGTAAGGTATTGAGAACCTCGGGAAGCCCAAGTGAGATAAAGGTAAACCTTGAACCTACCAGTATCTATTGCAACAAATGTTTTTTGTCTTGGGTAATTTGTTGAGTTTTCATTAACCTGTTAGACCCACTTTAGGATAAGCCATGTCAGACCTCCTATAATGTTTTATACAAGAATTCTATTGATTAATGGCAACTGTAACCAACTAATGTAATAACTATCATGAACTGTAAAATTAAATTAATAAATGGAAATGTTTTATTAATGCCAATAATGTGACAAACATAGAATTTCACAAAGATTCTTGTAGTCTAATCTAAATCTTAACAAAATTACTGTTGAAGAAGGAAATTCTGATTAAACTACATGGATTCATTAATTTATTGAAGAATCTGTGTGATTTTTTAACTTTGATATACGTGTATGCCAATGATTTTTGTACTGATAGTTAACAACAATTTATTGGTGTATTAATTCTGCTTTATAGTACGGGTAGAATCATTTTAGCATTAATTATTTGGCTAAGTGGGTAAGACGCTGGCTCCCTAGCCCGGAGGTCGGGTGTTCGAACCCTGCATTGGCCGAGAAAGTTCATCCAGATTTTCCAGCGTGATACTCCCTTGTCAGTGATGCAGGACAGAGGGCCTGACAAGGACAGCTGTCTTGTCATTTGGATGGGACGTAAAACCGAGGTTCCATGTACACAATTGCATGCTCGTAAAAGATCCCTTGACAGTTGGAATTCAATATAAGAGTAGGCCATAGTGGCGCTGTCCGGGCAAAATTTCCCTCATAGCACACTGTATGGCGTATGCCCATCTTCATTAGCCCAGTTCGGAGCAGAACAGTAGGACGTTCATTTGCATTAATATTGAAATAAAAATTATACCACATCTTAGTCCTAAAATGACCTAGTTTGTATTCAGTGGGGATGTTAAAACCCATTTCTCTCTCTGAATTTTCTATATAGTGTAAATATACTTTGTAATTACATGTATATGTATAATGAGTACAGCTGGATACAATGAATAATTAATCCAGAAACATGGGTAATTCGTTAATATATGACATAAATTATATCAAATTATATAAATCAACATTCTTGTCATTTATTACTACTAGTGGAAGAAACTTTATTTGTTCCATTAATAAAACTATCATAATTGTACATAGTAGAGTACATGTAACTTATACATGTATATGAGTCAGACTTCTAATTAATTCACAGTTGTAAAAAATATAATAAATGATCAAGTCCAGAATTGTTCAACTTTCTAATAAAAATGTGAAACTTCATTAGTGAAAGAGTCCATAGGCGTACGGGGAGATTTTTGACTGGGGTGGGGGGGGGGGGCATTGGTGGTTGGTGCCCAAAAAATGTAGTTAAGTTCTTAATATGTTACATAATAATAATAAATTCACTGTTAAATTGGACACATTCAAGAACACAATATTTTTTTTTATACAACTTTTACAAAGTACAATTGTGTGCCCAAATTTTCCCAGCATTTGGTGCCCAAAATGGGGGGGGCCCAGCGCGTACGCCTATGAAAGAGTCTGAACAAGTTTAATTAAATCTATCGACATAGTAAAATTCATTGCATGTAAAAAAGCTTGCTTACAAATTCAGTTTACATTAGAGTATAAACATAACAGTGTAACCCTAAACATACAAGATTAATTATGTAATTGTTTGTGTATTTAGATACATGTGGTTAATGTTCAATGTATTTGAATCTGTCCTGGGGCTTATACCAGTGGCCAGTAACAGTTACAGCATAAAAGACAAAGGTGTTGTTGTTGTTGTTGTTAGTTGTATTTTACGTCCGCTTCCACCGAGGTGATATCGCAGACAATGGCAAAGGTGTTACAGTCTCTCCACTTATAAATCATTTACATCTAAATGTATATACACACACCTATCAATCACACATCAACAACCAATGACAATCATTGCAATTCTGAAACAAATCACAAATAACCAATCAAATTTATCTACTGCCGATAAAAGACACAATTCTTGGTAAGCAACAACCAATGTGATATATTAGCCATATTCCTCATAAAAACTTTCTGAATAAATAACCAATCAAAATAATCAATAGTCAAAGTAGGTCAACTCCTGCAAGAGGAAACAGCCAATAGGAAATAGCCTATTAATTAACAAACCAATTAAAAATATATTCAGGTCATTAATAAAAAAATAACAGATTTAGGTCGACATTTTGTCATCAAGTACCAATTAAAAATGATTTATTATTAGAACACGAAAAATCAATCCCAGATAAAAACACAACTAGGTCGCTGCTATCATGACTAAGAATCTATTCGACCAATCAATATAAGTTTTAGAAGTACAGTACACATATTACTCATGATAAATTATTCATCCAAATCAAATAGCAACAAAAGTCTCTCGTTGACGACAATAACCATGGATATATAAGCCAATGAGAAGAGCTCTTACTCTGATTAATTATGGGTGTAATAATGGAAAATAACTCCAAAGATAATAGAAATGATTTCCTTGATCAATGGTATGAAATGATTCTGTCTACCTGACTAACTTCAAGTGTTAGCAACATGAACACCATATGTCTTCAGTCTAATCAATAATTAATGATCTATTTTTTTACTGTTACACTTTCATGTTTTAATTGCAATTAAATTTATATGGCTGACAGACCAAGTTCATTCAGATAAATAAAATCAGAATCTAGTTTTCTTTCATGTAAAATCAATTTCAATCCAACTATAACTACATGTACACGCATGTGTTAAGAGTCCCATATTATGGGTCCCCAGAGAGGAGAGTAGCACACACCACGAAACTAACATTAACTTGGTGGAGGTGATGATGTGTTAGCTGATTGGCTTCTTCTATCAATCAGATTTCACAATCTAAAACCTGTGGTGCACGAGATAGAGAGAGAGAGAGAAATGGGGTTTAACATCCACTCGACACAAACTAGGTCATTTTGGGACTAACATATGGTTCAATTTTATTTCCATAATTCGCTTGCGCGTAGGGGTCTTTAGCAGTGGGAGGAAACTGGAGGACCCAGAGAAAATCCATGAGGTTGGACAGGCGAGAGGGGTTTTATATAGGCTAAGCCTGTTCCCCAATCCCATTCAGTCAACATGAATAAAAATATGGTTTAAAAAAAAAAAATTTGAAAATTGGAGTAAGTAAAAGTAAAATAATTCTAAGATAAGAAAAATTCTTGTTCTTAAACTCCTAATTTCTAATCGATTTCAATTCTGCTGCATGTTAATCAGATCTTGCCAGCATTAATCTGCTTTAATAACTTCTCATCAAATATTAATAGAATCTACATTATGAGTAGTTATTTATATATTATTGTCTATACAATGCTGAGATCTGACCAGATAATATTAGAGAAGAAAATTAGTTTATCATATAATATAATTTATTGGTATAGATATTATATAGATAACTACACAGCTAGTCTATCTCAAACTCACCATATATTTATAAATATTATTACTGTGTCTGGGTATGTAGAATATGTATGTATATATATGTGTAATTGACGACTACAGGGGGCTGTAAATGTCATAAACTAGGAATAACTTACATTACAATTTACACAAATGTATCTACATCATATACATGTATGTAAACATCTTACAAGTCTAATATCATTTTCACCTGGTAAAAATCATTGATTTTAGCACCAAGCCAGATCCAAACATTTTGATGGCATGTTTTCCAAAACATTGCTTCTAAGGAACCATAAATACAGAATAAAATGGTTAGGCAAGAATAAAGCCTAGATCCATGCGCCTTTGGAAACACTTCCTTCCCCCACCCCTCCAGCATTTAGTTGATACTTTATAATTATGTATTGTAACCTTAATTAATGCGTTATTTGATGTCTTGTTTTAATCACCATCATACAGGTACTGTCACCATTCTCGGTCAAAAAGGGTTTAGAGAGACCCATCTGAACTCTTTCCAGGGAACAATATTATACAATGATAAATAGTAAGCAAGATATCAAGGTAAGTTTCTACTTAAAGTTGTTAACCAATGCCTTTGATGTTATCGAGTTCAGAACAAGGGTTGACTGTGAATTTGCTTGATTACATGCATGTTATGCTGTGAAATATATACTGCTCGTGTAAAATAAAAGTAGAAAACTGACCGTAGAGAAATTATTTGTATTGGCCAACCAGCGACTGAGTTGTGATTCTTCCTCCTGATCATCATGATCACTGTCTGGTTCAACTTCACTCTCTGTTCTATAATCATCCTCTTCCATCCTATAATATACAATAAATCAAATTAGTGGAGCTATTTTATTTTTTATCAATTTTCATATTAATATAGGATATTGAAATATTTCATGGCCCATTTCAGTAAGAGAGTGAAAATGGGTTTTTAAATCAACCATATATTAGACTAGCCGCCAATCTACAGATAATACTAGTTATACTAGTTATCTCCTCATGTATATGTACTAATTTGATAGTTTTTTTGTCTGGAGAAGTAGAATTGTCCATAATCATGATGTGACCTCCATGTACAATTTCAAGCTACAGGAACAATATAATTATTTGTCAGACATGGCTTGCAATTATTATATGTGTTGGTCCTTCCATCAGTCATACCAAATTAACCAAAACCAATAAGGTAATTTTTTTTACCAAATCTCGATAGTAAAACACAACCATGCACACAAAAGAGAGAGAGAAAAATGGGGTTTAATGTCCACTTGAAACAAACTAGGTCATTTCGGGACTATAACATATGGTTTAATTTTATTTCAATAATTCACTTGCGCATAGGGGTCTTTAGCAGTGGGAGGAAACTGGAGGACCCAGAGAAAACCCACGAGGTTGGACAGGTGACCCTACTCCTTGTCACGTACAACCGGGGATTTGAAACCATGCCAGTTGACTCAATGACAGGCCCTATGATACAGCGCGCACATGCTAACCATTCGGCCATCAAACTCCCTTCCCTGCACAAAAGATACATGTACAGTTCTTATAATAATAAGGCCAAGTAAGAAATAAAAAAAATTAAATCAAAATGAAATAAACTCTGGACTACAGCTACATATAAATCTGCATACCATGCAATTTGCTACAAATCACAAGGTTGTCCAATTCTATGTCCACCGGGGGGAATTGGGGTTTAACTTCCACTACACATGATACAATTCTATTTCAATAATGCGCTTGCATGTAGGGGTCTTTGGCATTGGGAGGAAACCAGAGGACCCAGAAAAATCTCACAAGGTTGGATAGGCGACTCTATTATATGTACATGTACCTGTCACCCTAAAGTGTGGGATCGAAACCAGGTCACTTGACTTAATGAAGGACCTTAATTATGATCTAAAGTGCATACGGCCACCCAAACTCCAGGATACATTAGAGCATTTGGCCACCAAACCTCCGGGAAATATAGATTTTTATATTCAATATGTAAAAATAATTAGTCCCAGAATAAAATGTAAGTGCACAAGGCAGCATGTACTTTTGTATTTATTAATGTTAATATTGTATTAGTGTAAACAGAGAAAAGAAATGTTTTCGTTGATATTTTACCTTTTTTTAAAATAAATCAATCTGCAAACATTCATGTTAGATCCAGCAAGGATACTTGCTTTTTCTTTATTAGATGGCGGCATTTTAATATCCTTATTCATGTACGTATTCTTAATCCTTTTAAGGTGTTGACAAGATTGAAAATTGTACCAAAAAGTTTATGTCCATACGAAATCGAAACAGGACAATAGCTTTTAATCACAATTATAGAATAATCACACAATTAAAGCCATTTGAATAGAGATCCTCGACTCTCCATTCAAATTTGCTTATTAATTATGTTGAAATGCAGCAGCAACAAAGGTTCAGCAACAATTATCCAATGGCATGGCATGTGCATGGCAAATAAAATCCTTGTATCAGAGATTTTTAGTTGTTACAACATCTGTCATTCCAATTAACACTATCACATACAATTTCATAGATATCCAATCTGGTCGAAAAATTTTGTTCCTAGATTGTAGAGTAGAAAACTATTTTTTGAATCACAATAGATCGAAATAATGGTCAAAACCGTCGCCTAATGGTTCACAAAGCAGAATCAAACTGCTGTAGTTCCAATCAAATCATCGTACAAGAATGCTGACACGTATAATCATGTTTTGAAATTAATAAAAGATCAATTTATGAGTATGAGACATCTCTGACTGTATTCCGACAGCACAGTAGTTTGGTATGCGACGAGGCTGTATGAAACAGGTGTGGCTAATCTAGAACAATGACAAATACTTTGATGACATTATCAATAATCAATTTGTCACGCTTGACTGAATTTTATATACTTGCATGTACATGTAGGTATAAACAAAGTGTACGTATGAAAATAATTAATATATTGTTTTAAGAAAATCTGAATAAATATTTATACCTGCATCTGTGTTGATAAAATTGATTTAAAATTATTGATCTTTTGCTCATACATGTACAGTATAAAGGAAATGAAACTTTGCTTATAAGATTGAAGTCAACTGTGTAAACGGTGAATTCCACACAGACTCTTTCAGATTTTCTAAGCTAAGTTGTGATTACAAGGTTACATGTATATCAGTATTTGGAACTCAAATTAATTTCCAGGAATCTTCTATCTTATTGGAAAAAGTTCATGATTTGGATTACTTGATGTTTTTCTACATGCATGTCATACACACAATGTGGGATATAGGATGGGGAGATTACAAAAGAGCAATAATGGCAATCAATTTACAATAACTGTGGTTTGAGAAACTTACTTAAGAGATAAATCTGACTATTTGCAGGTCTTTTTTTTTCTAGCTTCAATGTTATATAAATTATTATTTAGACATTTATTCACATGTCAAGTCCACAATCAACTCTATATCATCGGATAACTTGGATTTATGTGGATTAGATCATCCGCATCATTTAATTTTTTAATGTTAAAATGGAAAATCAAGACTTTGTTTATTATCATAGCAATGGCAATCAAGACTACGCTATTCTTGTCAAAACTTCAAACATTCATAACTTCAATGAATTTTTCGTTATCTATTTTTAAACTATTATAGCAAGAACTAATACCTCTTTATCTAAATCTTACATAAACATCTTTAAAAACAATTTTGTTACTGATTTAGTCTTTAAATTTACAGTTTTTGCACATTTTTACTGTACAATAAACAAATTATATTTATGCATATATTACTACAGCATAATTACTATTTTCAAGTTTGCTATAAAATACATTATTGCAGATTCATTTCTCTGACATACATGTATGCACAACTTGATGAATAATTACGCTGCATATTTTTTATTAATCATAATTAAATTATGCACATGTAGGCATATTGTCGTTAATTTATGCTTTAAGCTACATGTATCTCCCCTGTCAATCACTTTGATGCCATGAAAAGGTGTGATTAATCCAGATATTACCTGAAAAATCCTTTGTTATAGATCATACTAAATGAGTCATAATATCTGTACATGGAAATTTTAAGTTATTATAATACAGGGAAATACATGTCTTGTCTTGTCTATTTATTTGAACGTAGTCAGCATCCGGAAATTCAAAAAAATTAGAGAGAATTAAACTGGTTTAGCATCTTGTCAACATTTTACCTGGGTCATTTTACTTTATTTTACTACCAACTGTATACTCGAGGGTTGTTAGAAGTGGAAGTCAGGTGTGAACATACATGTAAGGCCAGCTTGTTGGGATTTTTCATCCCATACGAAAAACATCCATACTTTCCTTGTCAGCCTTGCTGATGTTATTTCCTGAAATACCCCTATAGTTTGAACACTCAACTTCATGGCCTCTTTGGTGTAATAAATAGTAATAAGCAGTCCTGTAAACACTCTGCTCTGTTTGCTTTTGGTTTGATACTCATAAGCCAAAGCTCAGACTGGGTTTAATTGGAGAGATAAATAGGGTTTAACGTTCACTGAAAACAAAATAGGTTAATTTGGGACTAACATTATTTTAATATTTTCCTTGTGTGCCATGGACTTTAACAGTTTGAGGAATCTGGGGGAAAAACTCTGGGATAAGGCAGTAGTCCCTATAAGCTGTCATGTACTGTAAAAACATTGAATTGAAACCATAACCAACAAAATGATGAAAGGCACCACTCAGTCACCTCCACCCACTCTGGTTTACTACATGTAGATAATTCTACAAAAAAACATCAATCGAGCCATTGATGAATACACAACAAAAACAATTTATGAATTTTCATTGATTGACTTGTCCCAGAAGTTTTGCCTACTAAGTGAGTCATTTTAGACTCCTACATATTTTCACCTAAATACAAGCCAATACAAGCTCATGTATGGAGAAAATAATTGCCTTTTTACAATGAGGCTTTCAAGAGTATTGATTATTTTTTTGCCCAAATGACACAATATTGATGTAATGTTATAATGAAATACAAAATATGTTTCATTCATTCATACTAGTAACATCATGTAAATTGTTAATGAATTGATGATGTAGACGAAGAATACAGCAACAATTGTTTATCTGATTTTCCCAAATAAAGGTTCCCGACCACAGCAACAATTGTTTATCTGATTTTCCTGAATAAAGGTTCCCGACCACAGCAATCTGAAACTCAACCATTTGTAGCTGGCCGTGATAACACATCCTTGACTCTGCATCACCCCCCATCCCAATGTACATGACGTATTAAGTATTACTTTTGTTGCTCAAAGTACATCAGTATTTTGACTATTTATAAGAATTTTGACTGTTCACTACCAAAATTTGAGCAAGCCAAACACAATTATTACTTACTCAGAGAGATAGAAATGAGGTTTAACATCACTCAACACTAGGTCACTTCGGGACTAACATATAGTATATTTCTTATCTAAATATTTCACTTGTCTACAAGAGTCTGTAAGAGTGTGGGGAAACTGGAGTACCCAGAGAAATCCTAAAATTCCAGATTAAATGTAGGACCATATTGTACATACAAGACTTGACACCTTGAACAGATGAAAGGCAACATAGCAACCCCCCCCCCCCATTTCTTCAAGAAAAAATAGGTTTACACAATTTCTAACACAGCAGACATTTGGAAAAGGATTTACATGTGTATGGGTACATGTAAATAATGAACTTTATCTATTCCAATGTAAATTAAACCAAAAGCATCTTAATTCGGTTGACCATAACTTGACAAAACATTGTATCATACTCATAGTATCTATCTTCATGTACATTGTACCATAGTAAATTA